TTCATATCGCAAAAAAAAAAATAAAATAAAAAATATCAAAATGCCAGAATTTTCCAATATTGTGCAGCCCTAGTTTTGGAGCACACTAGCTAATAGATATCCTTTAAACTAACATTTGGGAATTTAAAGATTTCCACGTGCAAACACGTCGTTCATTTGCTCTGAATTCATAATCACAGCATTTTCAACTCCATCTAAAGGGCACATTAGTTACACGGCAATTCCCATTAAAGTGACAGGATCAATGAAGTCAACCTGCACACATGCTGCAGCCCTGCAGGTATCGTCTCTTTAGTTTGCACTGCACACATTCACCAGCTGGGATGTTATCTTAATGTAATAATCTGTCGCTCCAACAAGACACGGTCCTTGGCGCCCAAGGTGCATTATGTTCCCCCTTTTGCTCCGGTAAGCCACTTTGCGGTAACAGGACAAAAATGCTGGCAGCAAACCAGAAGCATCTGTTCTCCATCATCCAGGGAAATAAATGTCATAATCGTTCTGGTTCCTGTCAGCTGATTCACCGGCCCTGCTGTCCTTACCATACCATGTGCAGCAGGGTTTCATCTAAACACAGCCTGCAAAGCCACGACTGCGCTGAAGTTTTGCTTCTGCACAAATATATTATGCATGCTAATCCCAAGACTCTGACCTGTACAGTTTAGACAGCGTTTAAGACTTTAAGACTGCAAGATAAACACAGAATAATCTTAATCCACACTTTGAAAGTCTAAACAGCAGATTAACAGGTCTTTTTAAGAAGTGAACATAGAATGAACACAGGGATTTACTCTATAAAACAGGTGGATTTAAAAGTGATTTAAAGAACATTTTAATAGGATTTTAAACTATCACATAAATAATGTATTTATACAGATAGAATTGTAATAGTAACTCAGTGTGAAATCTTTCAAGGTCAAAAAAGCTATAAGGTTTTAGCTATAAGCTATAAGGTTTTAGAATGTAATAGTAAACATTTCTATAAATATTCACTATGCCATGGCAATTGACCAGCATCAATGGAAACAGGGTTAATGCAATAAAGTTCATAACATGCCAAAAAATTCTACATACAATTGAAAGAGTGAAATGATCAACTAATCTTTCAGTTTTTGTACATCTTAGAGTTATTATTTGATTTATTGAATGGGCTGCAGGATATTGGAAAAATTGGATATTGCATTACATTTACATTTACATTTAGTCATTTAGCAGACGCTTTTATCCAAAGCGACTTACAAATGAGGACAAGGAAGCAATTTTCACAACTAAGAGCAACAATGAATAAGTGCTATGGGCAAGTTTCAGGTCTGTAAAGTCTAAGAAGGGAAGTATTAGTATATATATATATATATATATATATTTTTTTTTTTTTTGGTACAGTTAGTGTGATATTCAGAGAGGCAATTGCAGATTAGGAAGTGTAGTGGAGAGTAAATAGTTGAGTTTTTAGTCGTTTCTTGAAAATAGCGAGTGACTCTGCTGTTCTGATGCAGTTAGGGAGTTCATTCCACCAACTGGGCAGATTGAGCGTGAGCGTTCACGAAAGTGATTTCTTCCCTCTTTGGGATGGAACCACGAGGCGACGTTCATTCACAGAACGCAAGTTTCTGGAGGGCACATAGATCTGCAGAAGTGAGAGCAGATAAGAAGGAGCAAGGCCAGAAGTCACTTTGTAGGCAAACATCAGAGCTTTGAATTTGATGCGAGCAGCAACTGGCAGCCAGTGCAAACGGACTAGCAGTGGAGTGACATGTGCTCGTTTAGGTTCATTGAAGACCACTCGTGCTGCTGCATTCTGGAGCAGTTGAAGAGGCTTGATAGAGTTAGCTGGAAGCCCAGCTAGTAGAGAGTTGCAGTAATCCAGTTTGGAGAGAACAAGAGCTTGAACAAGGAGTTGAGCTGCATGTTCAGATAAGAAGGGTCGGATCTTTCTGATGTTATAGAGTGCAAATCTGCACGATCGAGCAGTTCTAGAAATGTGGTCAGAGAAGTTAAGTTGGTCATCAATCGTTACTCCAAGGCTTTTCACCATTTTGGATGCAGTAATGGTTGCCCCATCCATCTGGATTGAAAAGTTATGGTGTAGAGTCGAGTAGGCAGAAACTACAAGCATTTCCGTTTTTGTGAGGTTCAGCTGAAGATGATGATCTTTCATCCAGTGTGAAATATCCAACAGGCAGGCTGAGATGCGACCTGGAACCGAGGGATCATCAGGATGAAAGAGAGGTATAGCTGGGTATCATCAGCATAGCAGTGGTAGGAGAATCCATGTCTCTGGATGACTGGTCCTAGAGATGATGTGTAGATGGAGAAGAGAAGTGGCCCAAGAACAGAGCCTTGAGGTACCCCAGTGTTTAGATGCTGTAGGTTGGACACCTCTCCCCTCCAAGACACCCTGAATGACCTGTCAGAGAGGTAAGATCTGAACCATTGCATAACAGTGCCCGCAACGCCCAGTGACTCGAGCGTAGATAGCAGGATCTGGTGGTTGACAGTGTCAAAAGCAGCTGACAAGTCCAGCAAAATGAGGACTGATGATTTAGAGTCTGCTTTAGCCAGTCTGAGATCCTCCACGACCGAGAGCAGGGCAGTCTCAGTTGAGTGGCCTTTCTTAAAGCCGGATTGCTTGTTGTCCATGAGATTGTTTTGAGTAAGAAAGTCCAGGACTTGATTGAACACTACTTTCTCCAGAATCTTGGCCATGAATGGAAGCATTATTTAAGTGTTCTGCGATACAGATTGTAATATAAATACATTTTTAAAAGATATTTTGAATAAGACTATTTGACGGTTTTCTGAGCAGTCTAACAGTTTTCAGGTCCATAAATAGAATGATCACGATGCAAAAAAAAAAATGCTTTTCTTATTGGTCTTCTAGTCCAAATATCTAAAAATAATTGTTAGATCAAGTAATATTGTAAATATAGTAAATATTGTTTTGTTTTAAAAGCCAAATGAAATTAGGTTTTTTTCTTATCCTTTCTTACTTATCAGCCAGTGGGGTAAGTTAATCTTAATTTTGCTTTGAAATGTAGATATTTGGACTAGAAATAAAGACAAAAATTCTAAGTAAGAGTTATTTTTGTTGTTGCTGTATAGATTGTTTAAATTCCATATAAACACAGTGATTAATTACAATTTTGTAGCTCATGCTCAACTAAAATCCAGACTTAACATTGCATATCTTTGAGATGTGCCTATTGCAGATGTGCACATTGCGATATCGAAGTTGAAACGATGTATTGTGCAGCCATAGTATAGAAGAATAGTGCCTTATAAAAAGAGAGAGAAAAAAATAACCTGAGACATTAGAAAAGGAGGATAAGACTGTGTAATATGGAAGAAAGATGCAATGAGTGATATATAGGGCCACACAGAATCTGCAGACATTTTTTGCCATTTCTGTGCAGAACTTTGTAAAAAAAAAAAAAAAAAAAAAACTTGCGGAATGATTTTGGGGGGGTATCGAAACTAAAAACTTAATATATAAAGTAAAACAACAATTCTTTTTGAGTTTGAATTGAATTTTAGCAAAATTATCATATTTGGTACACCACCAGCAAAACATGTGAGCCATGAAGAAATGTTTGTACAACAAAACACAGGTGGTATAAAACTGACAATAATCAAATGACCCTGGAATATTTACAAAAATAGAACTTTAGTAAAAAATACAGCACTTATGGACATATATCTTAATGTTTAAATCAGCCACATAATCAAAACGCATGTGTGTTATTCTCGACCGTACACTGAGAGAAACTGAAAGTAACCAATCTGAATGCAGTACTTTAAATGTCCACTATGTGGCGGGTCAAGTGGCTCCATGCAACTGCACAACAATGAGAGTGGCTCAAAAGTATATGTTTTGGCAGGCCGAATCGCATTATATTTTTGACATTGGTTGAAGGCCAGAGGGAGGAGCAGGGCAGGCCATAAATGGCCCACAGACCGGCAGTTTGAGACCCCTGCTTTGAATTCTCTTGATATGCTTATATAGTACCATTTTGATAAAAATCTCGAATGACTCATGATCTGAATTATGGCTCCTGGTCAACTATAATCCCAATTCAACATTGCAGATCCTGCGATGTGACTATTGTGGATACACACATTATGAAATTGATGATAAAACGATATATTGTGCAGCCCTAATCAAGACCACTGCGACATTCACATTTGCGATAATTTTAATGTATTGCATATAGGTCTAAATAGAAGTGAGAGGATATTGAAATAACAAAAGAAATTTGTTGTAATATTCGGAAAAATGTCAATAATAGCAATTGGCATCAATTATTGCTACAATCAATAAACAACGATCATTTAAATAATGAGGGTCAAAAACGACACCTATTAAGGTAGAACAATGCTTAGAACATTTTTCTTTTTAAATCTGATATACTATTCACATGCTTTAACAACAGTGTGGCAGTATTATTAACGGACTCCTTCCATCAGCAAACCTAATCTTCGGCTTTAGTAAAGACTTTATGACCAATGCCTCTAATCCTCCATCAGGGAATGCTGATGGTGAATACTGTAGAATAATTAGGTAGAATAACAGGGTTCAAAAAGTCATCAAAATAATGCTGGAGTAAGAGAAACCCACACCGCACACCATTACAACTATATTAAACAAGACTATGTGGGTCACAGACTAACCATTCATCCGGTTATTTGAATCTCGGCAGCTAATGGAGATTTAATAACTGCTGGCAAAACAAAACAGTGGAAAGAACTGCTTTGTGTAGATGTTTTATAGAACAGAAAATCACTGAATATAATGGACCACAAATTTCCAGATGGGATATCGCATTAGCTATTAGATATTCACGCATTGTTAGGGTCAAACTAATTCATAATTCACAAACGCAAGACCGTGTACATGGATTTGACATTTATATGACATTAAGCCTGAAATGCAACTTCCATTCAAATGAATAAGCTGGGCCATAAATGAAGCAATATTAGCTCTTAAAAAGCATTATACTTACATGTATCCTCGGAATCTGTTGAGGTCATTGTTGGGCTTCTCACATTCAATAACGCTGTTGTATTTTAATGGGTCAAACTCACAGTCCTGAAAATGAAAATATAAAATTAAAAATGAGGAATCTGAAATCTCTTAAGCCAGAATGATAAAACAGTGAAGCAACACGCAAGACTTTTTTCCCCAGAATTTATTTCTTAATTTATTAAATTAAATTGATAGTATGTGAATGGCTTAAACAAGATCTTTTATGACTTTTTAGCTGATGAACAATTTCGAATGCATTGGAAAGCTTTTATTTCAGTTTTGTGAGCATTTGAGTTTTCTACAATCTCTGTAAGAGGCTATGCAATGGTGCTTGCCTGAATTTTTATATAAAATATACGTATTGTTTTCAGTATTCATAAAATGATTTGCTTGTGTTGAAAAGAAATGAATGGACATTAATATACAGTTAGCATGTCCAAAACAGGAGTTCTGCAGGTTTCATCAAGTCAAATTCAAGACTTTAAGACCCTTTTAAGACCTTCATAAATAAAATTTTGGACTTATAGAGCCAAACACTAAGGTTTTTTTTCTAATGGCTCGACTGTTGTTGTTTTTTGCTTGCCACAACAGCAAAAATAATCTAATTTTGTTATTTCTTAGCCATCTATTTTGTTGTGTCAAAACAAGAAAACTCTAGCTGTATATACTTTTATTACAACATAATGTTTCTCTTAATGACAAGTTTAACATTGTTAAAATATATTTCTTTTGGACACAATTGCATGTATTCAACATGATGCTTTTTGCCTATTCCATGTCCATTTATAAATATTATTTCCACTCCCCCTTACTTCTGTAAATATTTTTTTTGTATAAATGGATGATCATGTAAAGGTAAATATTGCTCTGTTATTATCATGAGGAACTGTGTTAACTGTTTTTTAGTTTTGTTTCCCTGAAATAAATTTAGAGAATTTGCTGTAAAAAATATCTAATAAAGTTAGCATGGTTTAATAAAAAAAAATTGTCTGTTTAAATTTATATATAAATATATATATATATATATATATATAAATATATATATATATATATATATATATATATATATATATATATATATATATATATATAAAATGTGCTGCGATTCGCGGATTGGTTCCACGTCACACCCGTACAAGCATGCGCGTTGTGTAAACAACCTCATGCTCCCAATCTAAAATAAGATCTGTCAAGTGTCTGTAATGAGTGGAAAAAGGATGCGGCTCCTTTAGGAGAGTGTGTGTGTGTCTGTGTGTGCGTGTGTATACGATGAACTATCTGTAACACGAGAAGTGCATGTGCGCGGGAGCAATGTTTATTTTTCTTTTCCTCTCATGCTCTGATTTAGTTATTTTCTGTGGTGACGCTGCTGACAGAATAAAGCACAAGATGTGGTATGAGACCTGCGTGAGCCTTGATTGATTTTTTTTGCTGCCACACACCAGTATAGGGGAGCTCTGCTCTTATTTTTTTTAATCAACGTGTTACACGACGTCTTTCACACATATCCGGAATATGCCTGTGTAGGGTTGCTCAATTTTGGGAAAAATCATAATCACGATTGTTTTGGTCATAATTGTAATCACGATTATTCAAAACCATTATTAGTTGAAGCCAAAATTATTAGCGCTCCAGAGAATTTTTAAAAAATAAATATTTCCCAAATGATGTTTAACAGAGCAAGGAATTTTAACAGTATTTCCTCTAATATTTTTTTCTTTTAGAGAAAGGCTTTTTTATTTTTATTTTGGCTAGAATAAAAGCAAGTTTAAATATTTTGAAACCCATTTTAAAGTCTATAATATTAGCCCCCTTAAGAAATATATTTTTTGATTGTCTGCAGAAGAAACTACTGTTATACAATGACCTGCCTAATTATCCTAATTAAGGCTTTAATCACTCTTTGAATCTGAATGCATGTATTTTGAAAAATATCTAGTCAAATATTATGTACTGTCAACATGACAAAGATAAAATAAATCAGTTATTAGAAATGAGTTATTAAAACTATTATGTTCAGAAATCTTCTTTCCATTAAACAGACATTGGGGGAAAAGTGTTGCTAATATTTAGGAGGGCTAATAATTCTGGCTTCAACTTTATATATACACAGTTATTTTCCACCCTGCATAGGAAAGAGAAATAAATACAATAGAATAAAAATATGAAACAAACTGTGCTTTAAGCATCTTCACTGTAAGAAAAACACTTTAACTACAAAAGTCCTTCAGTCAAGAGCAGAGAGGCATGTTCTCCATTTGTTGTTTGATTAATAATCATAAAAACAGGCGGCAGAAGGATTATCGCGCGCTGTCTCTTTAATGGTTTCTCTTTCGTGTGTCTTTTGATTCTCAACTCGTTTGTTTATTTTGGAAATGAGGGTTAATATAAATAATCACTAAACACCGCGTTTTGACACCTATTTGACCATTAATGCGCTCACATTAAGATGACTTTAGATGTGTGCGCACTCCTCGTCTCAGTGTGCGAGTGAGACCGAATGCTCACTGCATGCTTCTGCTCTTTGTGTGCGCGGCACACAGAATCATGCGCTCTTCCGCGCTTTTAAGAGAAACAAGTGTACACCTGGAAAGGGGGCGGTAAATGTTGCAATAACCGTTTATCTCGATTAATGGTTTTTCATAATCGTTAGAAGCCAAAATCGAAATCGGATTTTCGATTAATTGCACAGCCCTATGCCTTTGTAAGTAACATGAATCGTTCACATATCTTTTGCAACTTTATTATCTGAGATCTCATGGAAAAGCTGCCTATATAGAGAGGCTGCACGCGCCTGTGAAGTGTGTTTGTGTGTGTTTATAGCAGTTTGACTGATAAATATGGATTTGTAGCTAAATCGTGGCGAACAGCATTTCCCGTTGTTTACATCTTTGCTACAGCATACCGTTAAGGCAAGACACTGTACATGTCATGATCAATTTTAACGAATAAAACACTTACAGGTCGTGGCTCAGAGTTCACATTGTCTCCTTGTAACTTAGCTGCTCCATCTTTAAGGAGATTTTAGCCGAATCCAGCACTGAACTGGGAGATATTCTGGAAGCTGTTTTGTCAAATCATGCTTGCGATGTATTTTATAATTCTCTGGAACATAATTAATATTGAACTGTAAGCACTTCGGTGTTTGGACCGTGTCATTTGGAAGCCCAAATACAGAAACAGACGAAGCTCTGTGGACATAGCAGGATGGCATTTTCTCCCTCTGCTGTAACGTTACAGTGCCTCTGGCCACAGCCCTTAGCTGCGTAGAGTGTGTGTGCGGTAAACAAACTTTTGTGATCTCACAAGGGCCGGAAGTATTTTTTGTAGTCCCCAAAATTCGTTCATTGTTGGCTTTGCTTAGCTAACTCTGTAAAAATCAAGGTCTCCCTTTGCATTGAACTTAGAGCATTTTACATTCAAAGATGTTGTTCATATTAACACAGCTACATTACACATCAACTAAAGTTTAAAATATGATATCATCATATGATATGATATATGAAGAAAAAAATCTAAAGGATGTGACTTCTACAACATTTAGAATAAATACCATCTATAATCACAAGGGTTTATGTATTCTACATATAGCCTTATAGAGTTTTAGTGAATAATAGATGGCCCAATCAAAAATAAAGTCATTATTATTCATTATACTGCAAAACTTCCAACGGTTGTTTACACAAATTTGTTATGTTACATGACTGCAGCAACTCTTTGCAACTCCTTTTTGGGTGAACTTTACCATATGGTTTCGGTCATGACTGTTTTCAGACCGCCTTTAGTAGAGGGAAATGAATATTTGCCTTTGACTGCTGGTGTGAAATGGCTAATGTAATCTTGGTGGGCAAGCGCTGACCAGCTGAATACACGCAGTAACTGTACTGGAAATCAGGATGCTTCTATTAGGGACTTTACTCTACTTATAGGATTCAAAATCAAACACTCTGCTGTCCTTAGCACTTACCAGGTCGATGAAGCTGCGCACCACCTGCCTCTGCTTGAGGTTGGTTTCTCCGTCCAGTGTGGCTGTCTCAATGTGACATAGACGGTCAGGGTCACTGGTACTGAGCAGAAGAACGTCCGCCGGCAGAATCTCATTGCACCGTAGCCGAATAAAGTCTCCGACCCGCAGCTCCTTCCAGTATTTCTCCACATACCGTTTTTCACTCCTACAAATGGAACAAGGTAGAAGTGTAAATGCAATTCGTAGCAATTAAAAAGGTGTTAATACTTCACTTACAGATTCTAGAGGCATAAATGCCTTTCAATATATAATACACTAAAAAAAAATGTGTTGGCTTGATTTCAATTTATTTTAACAGGTTCCTCATAACTGAGCAAGGCTGCATCTAAGTAAAAATGCTTGTTATTTCAGTAAACTTCAGCTAATAAAGTTGATGCAAGTTTGATCGGATGAGTCAATTTAACATTCTTAATTTAGCTTGAATGTATCACGTTAGTAATTTACCACACTTATTTTTCATTTCCTTTTGAACCAACAAGATTATTCACTTTAAATGATCTTGTAAATATTACTTGAACACTGTTTACTTTTCTTGTATCAATCCATCCTTATCCAGGGTTTCTGCGGGTTTTAAAAAGTCAAAAATTTAAAAATCTAAATTTTAGGCCTTAAAAGTCTTATTCGCTGTTCTAGGTCTTAATTATTTTTGCACATCTTGCAGATCTTATTTTTCCAATGTCTATGACGCTACATGTAATGCTCATTTAAATTCTTTTTTGTTATGTTGCCTGGTTTTCTTGGTGTTGTAGTTCTTTATTTCACTAGTCCAATTGTAATTTGCGATATTACAACTACAAATAAAACGAACATGCAATAGCCAGTCAGCCTTCTGTTATTGAACTCAGTGCCCGCAGCGAATGTGACATACTTGTTGTGTTTGCGGAGGTTTGCTTTGGGTGTGCATGACAATTTTGGCTGGTGAAGCTCACTACATTTTTTAACTTGTGCAAACAGTTCGTGCGTCACCGCGTTTTATTTGAGTTAAATACGAAACACTTTTGTCTAAAACAGGTATGACTGTACATACATCTTTATGATCCGTCCATGTGTTTTCATAGGGAGAACTAGATGACCAATATTTCTTGGCTAGAAATTGCAACAGCCATGGGAAAGGAGGAAAGTTTTTGTAAAAGTTTGAAAAAATGTGAGGGATAAGTTTGTTAAAACAAAAAAGAGGCCATGCAAAAGTGGAGACCCAGGTGGTTTTAATATTACAGAATATGTTTTTTCACCCTTCATAGGTTTTACACTCTCGCATCAATTACAATTTTTAATTTAAAACAATTTACAAGTTACAAACTAAAATTAGGTAACAAATTATCACCCTTTCAGTTTACAATACACTGATGCCAAATGGTCAGGAATGTTGGATCATTATTTAGCTTTTTAGCTTAAAAGTAGAGGACAGAAACTAGCCAGACAGTAATGTGTGAATTGCTGAGTGGGCAAAATAAAAAGTAGTAAGTATTTTTTAGTGAGTCTACTTTTTTTTTTTTTTTTTTTTTTATCTTGCCATAATAAAGAATATAATTGTAGAGCAACTCATGTTCTGTTGCCATTAATATTTATCTTTAATAAGTAGAACTGTTCGAGATATAAACAAAAAGTGAGTGATGCATCAAAGTTTGATTTAAAAAATCTTGAATGATTATAAAAATCTTTATAATCATTACAATAAATTATATATATATATATATATATATATATATATATATATATATATATATATATATATATATATATATATATATATATATATATATATAGTCTGACACAAACCATTTTTTTTGCAGTCTATTTTGTAGGGGTGTCAAAATGAATTGTTTCTTTGGTGCACCGCAATGCAGACGCAGACAATTCGGTATCGGTTCAGCATTAATCATAACCGGTTACTGACGTCATTTACCTCATATGCGCTCTGTCGCGAGGGTCGAGTATTTACACCGCTCTAACTACTTAAAACTCATAAACTGTGCACAATTTCACTGTGTGTGTTTGCTGGATCAGTCTTTCACTGATATTTACAGCAAAAGCCCCTATTTCACTGAGATCGAGAGAGTGAAAGTACTCTATTTCTCTCTCTCTATCTCTCTCTCTCTCTCACACACACACACACACACACACACACACACACACACACACACACACACACACACACACACACACACACACACACACACACACACACACACACACACACACACAGACACAGACACAGACACACACAAACACACACACACACACACAGGCCCATTTGACCTGCTGGCGTGACTTTTCTCCTCCTCTCGGCTGTTTTACAGCATTACTTCTGGATACAGAAATGAGCCCGTGTCTGCAGAATTTTTTTTCCACCGTGTCTATCATGGATCATCTGTGATCGCCGCTGCTGCCTGCCGCTTGTCAGTATCACTCATCTGTGAAGAGCGCAGCGCACAAGAGCCAATCGCAACCGTTTTTGTTGAGGGTGTGACCAATCAAAGGGGTGTAAGAGAACTAGACAAGGATCAGAAAGTGAGCTGGATATTTATATTTGTTTATAATGTTTGCTAAATGCTCTTGTTGTTTAAAGGTACAGTTTATATATCTGATTGTTTGTATTAAATGACAAAATTGTATTACAAATAGTGTATAAACATAAATATATTCATACATTTTAATACAAGATCTGCTGCTGTGTAGAAAATATAAAACTGTGTAGGAAAAGCCCTGTCAATGCACCGTGATGCACCAAAATATCGAATTGAACCGAATCGATGGCATGATAATCGTAACTGAACCGTGAGACAAGTGTAGGTTCACAGCTCTACTATTTTGACTAAGCTACCTTTCATTAGGCTAAAAATGTATAATGTTTAAAAGAAATGAAGAATAAATAAGTAAAATAACTAAGCATACATTTTTTTGAAAAAACGCAAAAATAAGCTAAATCAAATAACACAAAATGAAATCAGATTAAAATTAAAATAATGAAATAAAAAATGTAAATAAAGTAAAAATTATACATGCGCAAGACATTTCATTCTTTGGATCTATTGGGATGAAAAAACAAAACCAAATTCTGATCGTATGGTGCCTCAAAACAGACAAACTAAAATTTGAGAATTTAAAGTTTGAAGTTTTCGAAAAAGACTTAGCAAGCATGGCTAACTACCAGCTAACAAAATCTGCTGAAATTCCATAAAGCCTGACATTAAGATGACACAAAATAAAGTTTAAAATAACTTTGATATTTTATGACTTTATCATGACAAAAACCTTTCTTTGTTTCCCCACATGAGAGCTGTTGATTTTCAAAACAAATATTCACATTAAAAGCAGTGTGTTTAATCATTACAATTTGCTTCATCCACTATAACCTTATTCAGACATTTGTCTCTGATGTGTCTCTTGTTTTCTGCATCAGCAGTGAATGCATCCATAAACACTAAAATCTCCACAAGGGACTGAACAACAAACAAACCACATCTGTTCCCCGTTCAAAACTGGGAAGTTAGTGTTCATGGTGCCAGCCTGACATGATGGGCAACAACGCCTATTTCAAGAGGACAAAAATAATATTACAGGGCTTCAGTAAACATGGCTGCAGGGACTCTGGCTCTTTAAGTGCTGCTACTAAACAAACCTTCTTTCTGTTCCTTTTCCCGCCTTTCCACTCATAAGAGCACTACTCATTACTGCCACACCAGAACGTAAAGTGACCTCTTACACAAACCTGGCTTCAAGAGTTGTGTACCAAGCAGAGGAAAAGCTAATTTTTTTGTGTTTTAAGAGGAAAGAAGGAGTCAATAGATGAGTTGGCAAAAGAGGAAAGGTGAAAAATGGCCGCCAAGAGGCTTACTTAAGCCTTCTGAGGAAGTCGAGTAAATGACACAATAAATACAGCCAAAAATCACTGACATTTTACCTGTTAGTTCTGTTTGCAAGGTCACAAAATGACAAACTTCACATTCAGATCAACTCTGAACTACGTTTAACTGTAGTACTGATTACAGGCCCACAACTTTGAAGGTCAGTAATGTCAGACAACATCCAGCTGCAAGTACATAAACATGAGAGGAAGCAGAAACAGTCTGGGGTGGTCATGAGGATGTTACATTGATAATGCAAGTCATAATCTTGCTTGTTCTGTGACTAATTCTGGTCACTGTAAAGCTTTAGAAGTTAGAATTTAAAAGAGAGATTTGTAAACATTCATATCTGGGAGAATGAGTCAGAAAGAGAAAACTGAGTTTACACAACTCACCAATTTAGTTTATGGCAACATCTTGGTAACCTGATTTTGTAGGGACAGTTTCACTAAAATGTCATCATTTAACTCAACTTCCACTTGAGTTTCTTTCTTTTATTAAACATAAAAGACGGCATTTTGTATAATGTTGGATAGTCACTGACTTCCATAGATTCCATAGATTTGTTTTTAAACAGGACAAAAGTTGTAATTTTTTACCCAGACATTTAAAAAGAACTTATTTCAGAGCAGTAACCACAATACTGTGAAACTGTGATATTTTTATTCAAGGTTATCATACCATCAGAATCTTATACCGGCCCGTGCCTAGTCAATTTTCTTTTTTGGGTGAACCATCCTTTTACATTCTTAATTAACTGGCCACAAATGATCACATTTATTACACTTTATTGTTCACATGCTTTCAAATAGCATGCATTAAAACAAGACTTTTATGATCATGTGTTCAGATTTTATAACTCAACACAACTTTTAAAAAAAGAGCTCAATGCGAAGCTTCAGTGCTGAAATGTTAAACTAACTAGATTAAAGACCGATCTTTTTAGTAAAGCATACACTTAATGCATCACATAGTGGTATGATGCATGAATGTACTCCACGCATCTTGTTTATATACACAATGAACAGCAGCTACGCTAATTATTCTCTTTATTTTCTATCTCCACCTGGGGATACTCATCCCGAGGCCCCCCGAGACTATGCAGCGCCACTGATGTGATCCAAGACCAGCGACGAGATGATCCCAAGGTCTCCATAATCCTGTAAATGGTCGTGCCCAACTGAGCCTGGTTTCTCTCTAGGTTTTTTAATTCTTCACTTTCGCCAATTGGTGAATTTTTTTCCTTGCCACTGTCGCCACTGGCTTGCATGGTTTGGGACCTGTAGAGCTGTGCATA